TTTATGATTGGTTGTGGTGGAATGTCGGGTTTCGTCAGGGTAATAATGAGTCCAACTGGTGTTTTCGGTATATTTTCCATCCACAGAATAATATCGTCAGCCATTATCGAAGCGAAGCACAGACGCAAATTACGCGCGTTGTTTATAAACAGAAAGTAGTTCCAGGAAATAGACGCGTTTACCAAATATGGTAAACGGGGCCCGGGCGTGATATGGAAAATTATTGCACGGCTCGCGCATCGGGATTCCCATAGCGTTATGAGGCCGGGCAATACCTCATATGATAAATAGGTATATCACATGGATGACGTCACTGAACTACTGCGCAACGCTACTGCGCATAACAAATTGTCCTTCGCTGCACTGGTGAGATGCTCTGGCCGCTGTTGCTTTCGGGGTTGTTGCTTTCAGGGTTTTGAAGGAACTTTAGCCATCCGAAATAGACAGTGAACGTGCCAGAATGGATATTAAGTAAGATATTCTGTTTTGATGTATAGGGTATTTTTTATATGGAGCAAAAATGTACGGCAAAACCGCCACTGAAACGTCGCAGCCGGGATCGCTGCAGCGCGTTCTACGCTGTAAGCATTTCTACGCGTTTCACGGCGATGCTAACCGAAAACGTTCTAAACAAAGCTGTGTGGCTTGTGAATAGGTGTGGTACGTTCATGAGAAGGTAAATTCAGTCATTTCCACGGCATTTTTATCTGTAGAGTGATCAAATAACTTGCGTTTGAGAATTTCTCAATTCATTTCAAAAAGTTATTCTCGATAATTTGAGTCACGGTGATTCACACTGCTGAAACACGGTTCAACTTAAAAGAGTATCCATGGCTGAAAATAACATTTACTGAGTGTATTTCGTTGTTTTTTTCAGCAAACAATGTATGTATGCTATTGAGTAATGTTAAATTTGTTGTAATAGATAAAATAAAATATTGCATACTTCATATATAAGTGTTGTTATTTTGTGGGAGAGCGGGTGTGAGTGATATATGGTAGCTGTGATTGTCATGGTGAATATCCGATGTGATAAAATAAATAACACATAATTATTCGGTTAATATCACGATTTG